CATGTTGCAAAATTCCAGGAAGATTGAGTTTTTTTTTTTTTTGTTTCTGTAGCGGCAGTTTGGTAGGGTGTGTGCTGAGATGCAAAAACTAAACAGAGTAGAGCTGAGGATTTGTTTGTAATTACAGCCGATTCTTTTTTTAAAGGGTTTAGCGTTGACAGTATAGAAATCCTCACAAACGTTCCATCATCACAAATGCATCAATCGAATTAACCCACATACAGAGCTGTGTGTGTTTGTCTCTGAGCTCAAATGTATGCTTTTTGGTGCATTTTTAATAACATTTCTTTTGTAAATCCATCAATGGCTGTTTTTCTCAGTATGAAATACCCCCATCCATTGTCTCACCAAGAAATTGAAAACATAAACAGGAGGAATGCTCACAAGCCATGGAATATCAATCAGTCTGCAAACAAGTCGGAGGTGTCAGCAGAGTAATGGCTTTTGTTTGAGAAAGAGTCCATAGCTGGTGCACACAGGGATTTAAAACAATAATCTTTCCGGCATAATGACTAGGTAATATGGATAGTCCATTTATCTTTGATTAGATTTTTTGATGCAGGGATTCATTCCCCCGGCTCCCTGTTTCATTATTCTTTCTAATTACCTGCACCGATTCGCCCATCAAGCATCGGTACACTGGCAAGATGTAATTGCTTCTGCCATAAATCAAGAAACATTTGGGGGTGTCTGGAGAGTTCCTGCGCCATTAATACAAACACGTGAGAAGCCAGGCTTATGTTCATATTGATAAATCCAATCACTCATTTTGACATTTTGATATTTAATGTGCTCAGTCTCCAGCTGAATGTTTTGGTAGTTCTTACACTGATAATTCCTGTCACAGTTTTGTTTGACAACATGTGTACAGAAGCAACGTCTGCCTCTGCCTCTGTCTCATTAACAGGGTCAAGATTCGCCTGGTCCCCACTTGAGAAAAAAGCACTTTGCATTTGTGGTTGGAATAGCACTGAGTGATGCATTACAGGTACAGCCACAGTTGTCTACCAAGGTCAAGGAGCACTTTGAGTCTTAATGAGGCCCCAGCTCTGATAAACATTCAGCTGCTGGTCCCCAGTGTTGCCTCATCTCTGTTGTACAAAAACCAAAAAACATGTGAAAACTTGCCTGCAGCTGAACACCACATATTCCAGTCCGCAGGGTTATTATTCTAATTTAGTTAAGGCATTAGGCAAATCAACAGCTCCTGCAGCAGCTCAGTGGGGAGAAATGGCTGGAGGTGGAATGTGAATGAGCTAAGTTAAGGCAGACAGAACTGGGGCTTAGCTGTTAGCCTCAGGGTCAAAGTGATAATGTATGAACTTAGCTCTGGCAGGCGTGCAGACAGCACTACATTAGTGACCAACGAGCGTCTTTGAGTGGGCGCTTTATTCTGAAAGCGACACAGCAAGTCTGCGTGTCAGCTGATCAGGGACAAACATGGATTATTTACTCAGCTACATCAGTACCCCTGTTTCTGGTGCATCAGATTTGCCTGTTGTTTTTTTCCCCTCCTTTTCACAATGGTCACACTGACCTTGATGTAGCTTGTGGTGAATTAGATCATTTGCGCTTTTGCCAAAATGTTATGCATATTAAGCACCGTGAATACAAATGGAGGACACCATTTTTCTCTTGAGGAAAAAAAACAAGCTTTTGTATTTTTCATGAAAGTTGCAGTATCCAAAGGTTAGACATGCTTTAATATATATCACATGTTTGTATTTGTGCTCAGTGCTTGCTAATTCTGACTAGTTATCCTGAATACAAACTATTTACTTTTAAAAAAAACCACAAGGTCTCTCTCTCTCATTAAATTCTATCAACACACCCAAGAGTACATTTGGTATTCTATTAAAATGTCACAGCATGTGGCTTGTTGAAACCTGGATAAAATGTTAAACAAATGCATTTAAACCAAAGACAAAAAAAAGTGACAAAAAGTTATTTTGATCTCTCACTCTGCTGTTAAACTCTGTCCTGCAGTGCAGTGGATTAGTGTGATCTGTTGACTTCTGGCTGTCCTTGCTTAATAGCATCTTGTCTGAACACATCTACGCTTCTCGGCCATGTCGACCGGCCAGGGAGAAGCGGCTTCAAATGATGAGAATGCTGAGTAAAATCACTGGAGTGTAGCAAACTAAATGGTGCCCAACAAAGCACGTCCTACCTTTTTGTTTTACAGTGGTTTTTATCCTCTTTGGATCCAAGACTTCTCCACGCTCCTACCTACTGTACCTGTATTTACTGCATGGTCCGTGTGTAGTACATGCTTGAACGGTGTCATTCATAGTGATAATTATCATCTGATTGTGCAGTTCCTCAGCACTACAGAGCATTTTAGCATCTTTCTGATCACTGTTTCGATGGTCTGCACCCTACTATTTTGCTTCAGTCTCCCCTTTCTCATCAACCTGGTTTCCAGATGCTGTTAAACCAACTGTATGCTGCACATGTTTTTCTGTTGAACACCAAACCGAAGAGGGAATGTTGGAATTATAATTATCAGGTCTCTTGAAACATGACTCCAAATGAATGCTAATGTTGCTCCATATATGCTGGATGTGCAAATAAGCTACTTAGCTAGCACACTGAGCATCTTGAAAACTTAATGGCAAATGTCAAGAGGGGTTTGTTTACAGGCTACATGTCCTGGGCTTTCTTCAATCATACTGCTAAGAAGACAACTATTTGCCCTTGCCTTGCAGGCTACAGTTTCCTGTGTACGTTTGTATACTTGTATAGTTGTTGAGGCTAAAGGAGAGTTTCAGATTTATTTCGAAATTCCTCTGTTACTTCCTTTCAGTAATTAAAACAATATGTATTTGAAAATCAAGATTTTTGACTGCAACAAGAGATGGCTTTTCTACTTAAAGGTCAACAGATTAACTTTCATCACTACACTGATGCAGACTGATTCATATATACAATGACTGGGTAGCTATTTGGAAGCGTCTGCTTTGTTTCCTTTGAACACAGATCTGATGAATACATGACTGTAGATATTTCTGGCTGTCTTGCAGCAGTGACAGATGCACAGTTTCCTCCCACTGAATATGTTCAAGTGGCTTATGTAGAAACACTGAGTGGGTTGACTAAGGTGCAGCTGGCAGTGAACCAGGTTAATATGCTTAAAACACTTGAGTGCCAGTGTCTGCAGTCGCAGAGGCAAGCAGGGTGCTGAATGCAGAAAACAGCACAGAAGTCTTCCGAGAGTCTTCGAGGAGCGTAGAGGGCAGCGATACTGTAGCTGCTGCATAAGCAGCTGTGCTGAGGCCTGCATGGTGTCTGAGGTGGCTGTAACAGTGATTTCCCCACAGTCAGTCTGTTTCTGCAGACCTTGAATCAAATCAGCACCTTTTTAAATTAGGACTCGGGCAGAAGGAGTCCTCATTAAAAACTGCATACAAAGCCAATTATTTGAAATGTACTTGTCATACAGAGGTGAGAAGCACAAGAGCTGCAGGACAGGAAATGAAGCACATGTGCTACCATCATTAACACACGAAAGGGTGATGATAAGAAGTGCAGTGTATCATCACAACCCAGAGAATAGTACGGTCTCTGTGGTTGTGATTCCATATAATTTTGTCAAATTTACACCCATAAAAACCACCTTTTTAAACTTTTTGGATTGGACTTGGTGGAATATATGGTCTGTCAAACCTCTCAGTGCTCTTGTGCATGTTAAGTTTGTGTCTTGATAGAGATGATGAGGTCGGGCTCTTTGAAGAGCACCAGTGCACCGCTCTTCTCCAACTCTGAATCTCCAGGAGGATTAAAAATGAAAGCTCTTGAATTTGCTCTTAGAGAAGCGGAATTGTTTTCATCTTGAAGGAGTATACCATTAACACATTTAAGAGGTACAAGGATACTTACAAGACCATGTTCTCATGCCAGATGTCTTCTAGACAAAGAACTGTTTATAAGGATTTTTACAATTTCAGTTTTTACAGTTATAGTGGAACAGCAAACAAACTGAGGAGTATAAATTTGAGATCCTCTGGTGGGTGTGAAGTGGGATCAAAGTGCTCTGGGCAGCCTGTGCCACGTCTGGGTTTGCTTAATCAAGTAAAAGTACAGTGAGACTGAATCTCTTTGTACGTGATTTGGTAGCAGGAGGGAGGTTGTATTTTGAGTTATGATGAGGAACTGATTTATACTAGCTGCTGATGGTTACAGTCTTTACTGTATGTCTGTTATCTGTATTTCCTTAAAGATCTTTATTAGCTCTTGGGTTTCTGCATTGCACTTTACAGAGATCAGTCAACAGTGTGGGCTGCAATATGAGGCGAATTTTCTGTTGATAAAAGTTGATCTTCTGTTCTGAAGGTGGTTAAAATAGAGATATAAAGTGAATGCCACCTCTTCTCCCAGTAGCTGATTAAAAATAGCGTATTTATTCGGCGCAGGATGATGTTTGTTCGCTCAAACTTGATGCAGTTGAAACTCTGGCCAAGCATGTGATTCGTGACATGATGACTCCACTCCTGAGGTTGACCATGCATGCGTACAGGGGCAGTTACATAACATGCAAACGAAAACATACATCATCTATACAGCGTGGATGTTAAGCACTAAAGCTTTAAGTTGCCCCTGGCAGTGGCATCAGAGGTGAGATGGAAAGTGTTAACCTCCTCGTTACGGATCAGATAGCAGAAATCTGTTACCACATTTTCACAGTTCACTAACTGATACGCGGAGAAGGCTTGTTACACCAAGTGGAAATATTTACTGCTTTCATGGTCGAGCTGTGTGTTTTATCCTGCGAGCCCAGCTCCTGAATATTCATGATTGTGCCTCTAAACGTCAGGACGCAGCGGCGGCTTTTCCTCCCGTAAGCGGAGAGGATGGGAGGAGAGACAGCATGCCAGAGCCCGGCCACATCTCCCCCACCGACACCGAGCATCGGCATCGTTTGACAGCATCTGCTCTCAACTCCTCCTGCCCTGCACCGGCGGTAAGGGAAACAACAATGGACTGACGGAACACAAACACAGATCGAGAGAGAGAGAGAGAGAGAGAGAGAGAGAGGGGTAGAGAGAGAGAGAGAGAGAGAGAGGGAGAAACGCCGCCTTGTTTTTGAAGCATGCACATATTCTCTGGACGTAAGCTCCTCTGGTTCATGTTTGCAGAGCGGGACGGATCGAGTGACCACGACGCCTTTGAGAAAAGAGATGCCACAGCAAAGCAGTGATATGAGTAGGATGCTTCGACACGAGTGGTTATTGCGGTGCGTCTCCTGTAAGATGGACGAGACATATTGGGGCTGAGGAACTGGCGACTTATCACGTTGCGGAGGAGAGATGTTTTGCAACTGCCGTAGGCTATTCAAGAGGATGAATGCCTCGCGTGGCGTCATTTCTCGCTTGTAATATGTAGCTCAACGGGCGGCAGAGCGTGTGCAGCTGTTTCTCGGCTAGTGAAAGCCCCGTAAACGCATCGGTTTATAAAGTGGAGCCGAGCGCATTGGCCGCCAGCAACCTTTCCCACCTTGAACTTTCATGTGCCGAGTGCGATGCCCCGCTACGAAGTGAGCGCAGCCTCCTGAGCTGTCCGCGGTGCTGAACGGATCGGTCGGCTCCTCTGTTTTCCACGAGTTGACCTTCTCTCCACCGAGCAGAAAATCCGCCCCTCTGCAAGACACTGTAAGGTGACAAAGCAGGCCACCACACATGGACAGCTGCTGGGCTTGACTGAGTCAGCCAGACAATATTCTCTTTCATGGCTGTGGCACGCAAAATCAAAACTTTGCTGACCGTCAACATTTTAGTGTTTGTGGGGATTATCCTGTTCTCGGTGTACTGCAGGATCCAGGACCGATCCGAGGAGCTCATCCAATTAGGGCGTATTTCTGACCAGAGGCTGCGAGCCAGGAATGGCAAAGTTTCTAACTTGGTGGACAGGCAGTCTATTCTCCAGAGGCTGGAGAGGCTGGAGGATGTGGTCTACAATCAGTTAAACGGTAGGATACGGCTTCAAACACTAAATAATGTAAACATTGGAGAAATCTATGACTTGCTGGTAATGAAGTCATCATTACCAGCAAACACTGCAAAGAAATTATTAATAAAAAATCAGCTCTTTGGGAATGTAGACTACTTTGTTATGGCATGAAAAATCCAAAATGTGCATCAGATTCACTCAGCTGACTTTTCCTGTCCACACAAAGCATGACTCATGCATATTTTTCCTGTCAAGGTGTAGCCTAATTTCTTGGAAAACCCAGCTTCCTTTTGCACATGAAACAATGTATGATGTGCTGGTGAGTGGTCTGCAGCCTCTAATGCACTAACCCTGCTTGTTAAGAAGCAAATGAAGCAGGGTGATGTATTAGAGTGCAATACTTATGTGGTTACAGACTTTACTGGGCTGTTACTTTAACAGCCTATCGGACTGTGACGCCCTTAACCCATAATTGACTTGTTGTAAACTTCACATAAACTTATGCTTTACGTATTGATATGTGTTAGTTCTGTATAGAATCCTACTTACAGGAAGTCTTACAGGAAGTCTCTATCTCAGCAGCTGCTCCTGTCATTTCACTGAAGGCACCACTGGTGAAACATATCAGATTTAACAAGCTGTCTGAGTTTTGGAGGAGAGTCTAATGTAATGGCTCCATAATGGAATGACAGACTTATATTTCATTACATGGCCATTAATCTGTGGGGCAGATTTTTGGTCTTCTCAGCAGAGCAGCAATCTTTAAAACCAAGTTACATTCAGTATGACTCTGTCTTACTCATGGTCATATTCTCCTGTGGGAAATCCACATAACCATAACTGCTGTTAAAGATACAATCGGCCATTTATTCAAATAGATGTTTGAAAACACTGAAATGGAAATAGCAACATGAAATATTCCATGGTTATAATTCACCATTAGGAAAATAAAGGCATTAATTCCATTACTGTTAAATAACGTCAGTGATGTAAACAAACCTTTCACATCCTCAGAATTCATTGTAAAATCACATGAAGCTCCATGCTTCCATGCTGTTTACACATAAATATAGGCAATACAATCTTGTATTAGCAGGCCACATTAGTGGTGAGTCAGTGGGCTTTAATCTAATGTTTAAATGCATGACAATTAGGGATGCAACATATGATTATTTTAATTATCGATCAATCTGCTTATTTTTTCAGTTAATTGTGAAAAATGCCTGTCACAATTTCCCAGAGCCCAAAACCAAACAGTATATCATTTGCTATTATACATGATGAGGAAAATCAGCAGATCCTCACATTTGTGAACCAGCAATCGATTATGAAAATGGCTACACTTCTGTAGACTTTTCAGGTCGAATGACAATACATGTAAATAATTTCACAAGAGCTCTTTACGAAGAACTAGTCCTGTCCAGTATTTTTGTCTAATATCTGTCTACTAAAAGGTTTAAAGATTTAAAGGTCCAATAACATTGTCTTTCTTGTAAGTGACCCATATCCAAAAATATTTGAGTGATAATCAATTTATGTAATGTAAGATAGTAATCCACTGCTGACTGGATTGATTTTCATTGACTCCTCGTTGTAATCAAAGATACACATTTCGGGAATTAGGAGTAGTTTTTCTTGCTCGCAGGATGTCAAGGCTAAGTGGCATCACAAGTATTTTATTTTTTCTCATACTGTCGTGGCTGCTTTGGTGACAAACTTCAAGGCAATGTCGGCTATGGTGTATGTGTATAGGTTACAGCAGAAATACTTAACTACATTACAACACAGACAGATCCTAATAGAATAAAACCACATTTCAAATCCAAATACCCAGTCCCTCACACTGCTCTACGAAAGCTCAACCATCTTGCTCTCAGGCCAGATAATGAGAAAGCAGCATTGTTGTTTCATTATATATCATGGTGAAATGTTACTGCTTTGTAAAGTGTTGCAGATTGATTTGTAATTTATCAGTAAAGTCAATTTCTATTTACTAGCTTACTTTTCTCTCCAGGGGAATGGTGACTTTATCATCCGTGTAAATTGCAGGCTACTGTAGCTTCGGATGAAGGGGGACTGTGAGGGATGGGGGGCGGTGCAGGAGGAGGTCTTTTCTGCTTGTGTTGTTGTATTTGGATGCTGGTCACCAGTAGAGGTCACAAATACCTTTATACTCCTTTAACTTGACGACAGTTTTCCCCCTTGAAAGCTGCTGCAACTTGGAATTCAAGCACAAACAAAACAAAAGTAGAAAATACATTTCACAGCTGAAGACAGAGTATCTCATTTCAAATTCCTGTAAAGTTAGAAAGACTCGGAAACAGTGGCTTGACAGTCCATTTGACTGTTTTCCCAGTAGTCAGTAGTTAAGGACGTTTCACAGCTTCATGCGGCCCCAAAACAGCGCGACTCTGGATTTTTTGCTGCATGATCTTGTTATTATGCCTGAGCTTCAGCAGCTATGTAAGGGTCACTCTGTCACTTTGAGTTATGCTTGGCATCTGGCATCCAGCCAGCAGGCATTGCCTCTCAAAAAGTACAATGCATCCTTTCAGTCACTCAGCTTTATACAGAGACAATGCAACTAAGTCATTCAACCCCATACAGTATTACTGCTGTGGGACAGAAACACACTGTGTCTACAAAATTCTTGTAGGAGTGAAAGAGGAAATCTACGATTACTAAACTGCCATTTGTGAGATGATACAGTGAGGTTGTCCCAGCTGGAAATGTACATTTTGAATGGATGGACTTTAAAACATGAATTTACAAAATTGTGTCGCTAAAGTGTAATTCATATCTTTATATCATATATTCCCAGAGTATCGGCTGGAAGGCATGCACCTCCTCTGAGGCTTAACATACACAGTTGAAAACGTCAGAGCTTATCGCGTCAGTTGTTGTTTGGTAGCAAACACCATATCAGCTTTATAAATTATTCTCAACAGTGACTACTCTCTGCAGCGTCAGTAAGTGCAAGTTGCTGGGACACAATTTTCAGGTCTTTCACAAGTGGAGAGAGTAACACTGGCTTGTGGGCTGAGGAGAGGAATAAGCTACAGCTCCACAAACTAAGTGCAAAGCTGGCACAGTTTCTTGCCTTCCGGGTAACACAGGGGCACGAGAGAATATAAGCCTACGAAGCTGTTTAGGAATATATTATGATGAAGATGCTGCATTCGGTGTTGGAATATGACAGAGAATTTGAAATTACACAAATTCACAAACAATAACTACAGGCATGAATCTCTTTCTATGCAATTTAAGTTTGGAACGTTAAAAGGAATCAGTTGCAGTTGCGTAATTTTTCAGAGGCAATGAGTACCCAGGAGTGCACACAGGCTGGAGACGTTCGCTGGCTGTCACAATCCCTCCATGATTTGTCTTGAGCTCTTTAATGGCATACTTAATCATATCCTCATATCCCAGGTCACTGCCCCTTTTTCTAAATCGTGCACAGACCACAAATTGTATTCAATGGCCACTGGGAATAACCATGGTGAAAAAAGGACTCTGTGCGCCAATAACTATCACCATGTCCGGCAGCGATATGAAGTAATTGCCCATTCCTTCTGTTGTTTATTGCCTACCAATGGCATGCCATGGGAGCTAAAGCAAGGTCCAATTAGATCTGAAGGACGTAAACAAGTGGGAGAATTTGTCTTTTATTTGTCTGATGGATTGTCACTGGACTCCCAACAAGAAAACAACGTTCAAGCTTTATCAGCAGCCCATTCTGCTCAGAAATGAGCAACCGGAGAGTTATCAGCAGTACTGCTGTGCTGTTGATGCCACTGTCTTTGGGTAATCAGATGAGAGGTTTTAAGCTTGTTAACCAGCTTATGAAGCAGCATTTTGACCTTAAGTACTGCATTAGACCCGGCAAATACCCCTATACTTACCTGCTGAATCCCTGTGAGTCTGACTGGTGTGAATGAACATTATATATATATATACAAGTAGTAGATAGAAATGCATATTTTTAACATAAGAGTTTGACTGATTAGGATTTTGCAGGTCAATACTGATATGTTCATTTTGAACTAAGCTGTAGATATGCGTCATAATGTATTCATATTCAATTAGTGCAGAGAAAACACGATTAAAGAATTAATTCACTGCTTGCTAAATCCTGACGCCCTCCATTATTGTTGCAATGTCTGTCAGGCTTTCTCTTCATGCTCGGTACAGTACATAATGGCGGGAGATTACTACTGTATCAGTATTGACACAGTGGGTTCTTGATTTCAGACAGGTAGACAAGAGCAGGCTGATTTTTTTTTCCCTGGCTGATAACACTCGATTTTGCTAGAATAAATGACAACTGTCGCCAGTAGATTTTATCAGCAAATGCTCCAAAAAGAACCTTCCTAAAAAAACGGATGAGCAAGTGAATGTGCTGTTGTTCAGTTCACCCGTCTGACCACAGCTGGATGTGTCATTGTTCGAGATGGGCTGTTGTCCCACAGCTCACGGTCCCGCTGAGGCTCTTGTCATCAGCCATGCATGTCACTCCCGGCCTTCTCCCAGTGCGTAGGTGCTGATGGGATGGCAGCCTCTCAGGCCCAGCTGCAGCACCAGATATGCTTCTTATCTGTAATGCCCAATTATGGCGAAGAAACCATCGCTGTTTATATGCTAAGCCTGGTGGGGCAAAGACTTGATGAGAAATGAGAAATGCCACACTCTCTCTCTTGCACACTGACACACACTTGATGCTTTGACTGTATCTTGGTAATGCACATCGCAGTGTGCCTGCATGTCGTTGTTGTTGTGCAGTGTGTGATGGTGGCGGCGGCAGTGGCGGCGGCAGGGACACCACATCACAGCATGGTGAAGCCTGATGAAATAAAATATATTCCAATAATGATATGTAGATTAGGCTCTGGTCGACAAAACAGATAAAAATTAATTCTGCTCAGCCTTTAGGAATGAAGATATTGAATTCAGCGTCTCACCTGACGATCAGCACTCAGCCACTGACAAAAATGACAATCTCAGATGGAGTGAGCATTTGTT